TCCTCGTATGTGTCAACCTACCTGGAAATAAAAACGATTGAGCTGCTGAAACTAAATAAACATCCAGATCCAAACCGTAATGAATAAGATTGAATTATTAAGCATCCATTTTTTTTTATTGCTTAAACAACTTCATTAGGAGCAAGTTATATACAAGCTTTGACAGTCTTTGGCTAGTAAACAGTCGACTCCCCCGCTGTGGCTCCCCAACACACTTTTTCCACAGATGCGCTCCATCTCTTACGTAAGATTGTTTGAAAGTGATTTACTGAGTTTCAGGTGGGGGAGGCAATGGGAGACTGTCAAGCTGCTGCATTTCCCAACACCTCTCAAGACTCCATTTAGATCCCATCAGAAAGTTGTCTTTCTGTAACCTTACTTTCAGTTTAAGGTTAAGATGATGTAAGATATACTTCATTGATGTGACATTTGTGAAAATAAAAGTTGACCGTGAATATACAAATATGTAGACTATCTGACAAATATTGAAAATAAATAGTGGAAGAAAAAGCACGAATAAGAAAATAAAGAGGTAAAAAGAAAGAATTCATCAAAAATACAGGGAGCTGCTTGCAACAGGCAGACACTTGGCACAGTGCCATCTTGCTATATCTATATTGTTTCAATCTGTGATTGTCTTCATCAGAAAAAAAAATTCTGATAAAGAGGAGCTTCAGACTTGATATTGTAACCCTACATGGTTTGGTGCTACAGTAGCCACATGTCTCCCTCTTCTGGCAGGTTTGTTGTGTACTTAAAGGTGGGGTAGGTCATTTTTGAGAAACCGGGGTTGCGTCGGATAATCCAAAAATCAGCTCCTAAATTCTAACCCTATCGTCTATTCCTTGACCTCTGAGTGAAACGTCACGGGGTTAAGGGATAGTGGATAGGAGAATTCAAAAGGACTTAGGATAAGAGACTGCGGTACTTTAGAGAATCCGACTGCACTTTCACTATCCGACGTGTTTATGATGCTCCAGCGGACGTCATGAATGTGCGTCTGCTGCTGTGGGGAAACTATGGAAACTACAGTTTTCTATACAGCGGACTACAACATGGATGTTCAATAAGAACGAGGGACTACTGTAAACTCATCTAGAGACTCTGCACCGTGCTCTGATGCTGTTGCTTTATGCTTTATGAACGTGGACAACAGAGAAACATATTCTTCAGGACCAAAGTTGGAATTGAAATAAAAAAGGAAAGTGAATCAATACAGATGTATTTATTATAAACGTTAGTCCTTAACATCTATCACTGTGTATATCACCATTCAAACATCTTTTAAAAGTTGAACAAACCCCACACAGCTCAGTGAAGACTGCGAGATGTTGACTTTATTTGATCATTTCAGTAAAAACTAACGTTATATTTCTCTTTGATTATAATACTGATGAACGTTCAAAACAAAGCACTTTGGCAACTTACCACATACGTTTTAAAAAAGCATGACATGTCATGCTTTTCCGGTTAGTACCCGTCCCCTTGTGTGTTATGAAGGTTTTTATGCATGTAAACGGTGTGCAGTCACAAACCCTCAAAGTACACCATGTAGCGAGTAAAACTCTAACACAGGAAATACCTCCCCAAAACGCCTCGTTGGAGATACGTCACTGTCCATTTGATTCTTCCGGGGACATCATGATGTCATGTCGTCCCCGGAACGAAATGGACCAATCCGTGGAGCTGTTACGTTACGTCCGCGGAGCCGTTATGTTAAGCCCCCGCTGATTGGTCCAAATTGACCAATCCACGGACTTCCTCACACACTCAGTGCAAGCAGCTCTGCTGATCTCTCCTCCCTGGCTGCAGGCTGATAACAGACAGTTGGGATCGCGGCGAAATTCTCTCTGCAGACCCATTCTCTCTGCAGACCCATTCTCTCTGCAGACCCATTCTCTCTGCAGACCCATTCTCTCTGCAGACCCATTCTCACTGCAGACCCATTCTCTCTGCAGACCCATTCTCTCTGCAGACCCATTCTCTCTGCAGACCCATTCTCACTGCAGACCCATTCTCTCTGCAGACCCATTCTCTCTGCAGACCCATTCTCTCTGCAGACCCATTCTCTCTGGAGACCCATTCTCTCTGCAGACCCATTCTCACAGCGTTTATCAACCCTTTTCTTACTCAATATCAAGCCACACTTATTGTTTTTACTTCGGCTATGACTTTATGTGTGCTCAGCTGTGTTTCGCTAAACAAGGAAATCACACCTCCACGGAGCTTAGCGCGATTCACAACGTCCCGACTGGTCCCGACCAATCGGAGCACACTGGGCTCACAGGGAGGGGGGGGCAAGAGCTGCAACGAGCCGTTTAATGGAGAGAGTGAATACTGCTGAATACACATACTTTACAGAGATGCTGTTTGAGAAACCAATGTGATTTTGGAACATTGAACAATGTAAATCTATTCTAGTATACCTCAACAATGGAATTATGATCAGTGGAAATGGCCATGACATGTGACCTTTAATAAGCACCGTAACTTTCATGATATCATTTATCGGTCATAATCGGTTGTTTCCGTGAACGGCCGACTGTTGTGTGACGGCAAATGCTGCGGCCGCAAGGCATTGTGGGGCAGCATTTTCTCCTTTCATCAAGGGAGGTCCAGTGGTTCCTAAGCTAAAGGAGGTTATAAAGGAAGTTTGAAACCTCCTTTCCTATCATCTAGACATTCTAGAGAATTCGAACAGCACTTATCATGGCTGCCACTGAGGGACTTCAGGGGCATTTCACTCCGTTAGGAAGGTTCCTAAGCTAAATGGACTATTCGACTTGACCCCCGGGAAAAATCTGCCACTTCCTTACAGAGCCCCTCCTCCAACACACACAAACGCACACATGACCAATGAGGGCACGAGATACCTTTGTGCACAGATGGAAGGCTGACAGGCAGGTAGGCCATCCAGTTACTTTAGCCGGGCCGGCTAAAATGATTGGTCGTGCTTTTTACAGTGCTACGGCTTCCACAGATAAAATGTTTTATGTATATGTAACCCAAATGTCCCGTAGCCTCTCTGAACACCCTGAGACTCTGCGTTGTGTTTATTATTGGTGATGGGATGTTATGCAGAGGGGCGGAAAACAGGACACAGTAGATCGGATTGCGGTGGAGACGCTGAGTAGTGATTTATTCTTCGCAATGGCAGCTCTTCTGACACACCTTTCGTGGAGTGAATACAAACATTAGCCCATTAGCTACATGCCAATACAATAACCAAATGAACAGACAAAACATAGACATCTCACTCCCAAACATACACAAACAGGTAAATAAACATTTAAACTAACCCATTAATTAAATAAATGGAATGTTTGGACGTTTTTAACGTAATAATGTGTACAATTATTTACCGCCATTTACAATGCTCACCTTTCGTGGAGTGAATACAAACATTAGCGCCAAGATGGCGGCCGCACCCAGAACAACAGGAGAAATACGGTGTCCCACAATGGACAAAAAACAACAATTTGCTACGCAACAGCAACACCTGGTGGCCTGTCAAGGCTTCTACCTTACATATATATTGTCAAAGCATTTAATATATTCATTGCTATCGGGATGTTAAGAGCATTTCATGGAATATAACAAAAAGTGTTTCTGAAATAAATTACATACCCCACCTTTAAGTGATGAAGTGAACTCTTGTTTTTGGAAAATGCACAACTGAACCACAATGTGTAGTGCTTTGAGGCACATCTGCAGTGACTAGCCAGAACAGCTATTACAGAATGAGCAAAAGGCCATACGGGTTATGCAAAAAATGTTAATGATATAATTGAATATGAACGTTTTAATGGATAACTACTGAAGAAGCACATATATGAACATCATATATTTTGTATACAAAAAAGTTGACAACATTTAAAGTAATGACATTAAGTAAATACAATTAAAATAATACAGTTCCATATTTCGGATTAAATATTTGTTAAATGAACAATTAGTTTTGAATGGTTTTTCATTCACACTATTATTAATAGTGCTACTTTATTATTTTAGTTCTTGGTAAAAATCTGCACAATTTGGTTAAGAGTCAGACCATCTTTTTTTTATGGATTCGACATTTCCCTAAAAATAATATTAACTGCACAAAGCACTTACATTTGTACGGAGCCCCCGTGGTGACATTGGTGAGAAAAATATTAATACGTGGCCACGTATTAATAATGCGTGGCCACGAGTTAATAATGTGTGGCCACGAGTTAATAATGCGTGGGCACGAGTTAATAATGCATGGCCACAAATTAGTTATTATGTTCCCACGCATTAGTAATTTGTGGGAACACAATAATTATTACGCAATAACTAAATCCAGATAGTCTATAGAAACTGATGACTGAGTGACAACAAGTTGAGTAAAGTTGGAACGATATTGGCAGATTCGGATTTCACGGATCAATAACTCATGAACAAAACGTTATTCAGACACAAAGTACGTCTCCTAAGTACCGTGGCAAGGTTGACAACGAACTACAATCACATGTTGATCAAAAAAAGCCAATACGTGCTGTCCTCCAAACTGGAGACATTACATTGGTCTCTATCTGCAGCTGGAGAAGAAATGAGTGCTCAGCAAAGTGTAACTCCGAAAAAAGAGAATACAATAATATTCAATCACTTCACTATTATACAGTATATTTCTACCAAACTCACTACACACATCAATAGTCTCCTGTTGCTCATACATACTGCAGAGAGTTTGGAAGAATGTGCTTTTGAATAATTTTGGGGAATATTTATAGTGTAAAATCTTCAATAAATATGGCATCATCTTCAATAACGTTACTATTATACAGTATAAATATTCACCAAAATTATTCCAAAACATATTCTTCCAAGGACTTCGGAACGTACACTATTTATTTTGTATTAAAACATCGCGAGAGATAGCAGTACATAACAATCCATCTCCTCCTATGAGTCTTTTAGGCAGCTTTGCCTTTAAGCTCTCTGGGCTTCCGTAGTGTTGTTTTTTTTTAACCGGAAAAACTGTTTGGTCCGTGTAACGTGAACGTCATTAGGTGCCATAAAGATGGCGGAGTCGGAGGAGGAGGTGGACGTCTTGGTCCAGCGAGTTGTCAAAGACATCACAAATGCCTTCAAGAGAAACCCCAACATGTAAGTACATTTATCGTGAACATAGCAGAGGGACTGGAGCGGTCTGTCTCATCCAGTGGACCCTGAACACACCACTGCTTGACCCAGTCTTTCACCTGTGTGGGCTCGGACTATTACCTGGAATCACAGCGGTCCAGGGAAAGTTGACAGTTTAGCTATCTTAGCTGTTTGTTTGTTCTCTTATATATAGCTGGAAAAGGTTCTTAGAAATATATAATTTATCTGTTAAACAACAAAATAAACAGTGTGTTTGTTTGTCTAGCCAGTTAGCTCGCCCTTTGACGTGGTAAGGCGGCTGTCATAACCTTCTGCCCAGGCCAGCAACGTTAGCTTATCAATGATGTGATTAGTAATTCAGAACGATACATCAAAAGTGTCATTTTTGAAAATGTAGCTTTTGTTTCCCCATTCCTTGGTGTTCTGGGCTGCTTCAGTCTCTTATTTAATAGAGGAACGCCGGCATCGGCCTGTCAGTGTTGGCAAATGCCTTCAAGAGCTATCGTATTAGCTTATTACCTATTTATAGTGCAAATAACACCTTCATATGTACTTATGGTTCTATACTCTATGGTTTCAAAAGCCCATTATCCTAAATATTAGGAAATGTGGATATGTATTTTATTTATAATTCATGTAGCGTAGATGATAAGAAACATTGAGTCTGTCATGATATTTTATCTACTTGTTCTCCATACACCTTAGTATTGAATTGTATTATTTCAACTTTTATGGTGTACTTATAAATAATACGTAGCTTGCATCATATTAAAATGCATATTTTCCAATATATACATTTACAATAACAATGTTAAACATGTTTTTATTGTAAGATGGCTCTTATATAAATAAGCCTCAATCAGACTGCACCTTATTAATATTGTTGGGTGTTTTTGTTCTCAAATGTTTTAAATGGGATGTGTAAGACTGCTCTTTTAGATCCACAAACACAGATGTCACCTTCTTTCTCCCAGCTATTGCAGAACATTTTGTGGGAAATAGTTTCTATAAATTGTCAGAAAAATACAAAGAATGTGCCTCAAGCCCCATGTTGTGTTGTACGAACAATTCCTTTATGTTCACATACAACTAGTAACATCCTCCCTCCTATGCTCCCTCAGTGATGAGATTGGTGTGATCCCGTGTCCAGAGGCCCGCTACAACCGCAGTCCCATCGTGCTGGTGGAGAACAAGCTGGGTGTGGAGAGCTGGTGTGTCAAGTTCCTGCTGCCATATGTCCACAACAAGCTGCTGCTCTACCGCCAGCGCAAACACTGGCTGGAGAGGGAAGGTACCTGAACTCTCACAACATCTGGCACAACGAATAAATCATGTTATTATATTTTGTCTAACTTATTGTGACATTAATATCTTTGATGGATTAAAGACCAGAACTCTGTTTTCATTGTCTATTCGAGTATACGTATACCCCCACAACAACACAGTGCAGAAAGAGAATGTGCAAGGGAGTTAATGTGGCGCAAAATTCATTGTACTGTAATTGAGGTATCTTGTATTGTAACACAACAATACAGGATAACAGCACAGAGTAAGTTAGCATCCGAAGGTCTCCTCAACAAAAGGACTTGGACTTTGGAATATTGCTTGGTAACAAATATCTCTGGGAAACACGCAGTTATGACACCTACATGTTTTTATGAGCAGGGATATCTCCACATATAAGCACCACTTTTATCATGTTTATCCTAAATGCATAAACTAACTACAACATGTTTGCATGGCTGAGCATCACCACCGCTAAGCTAATGGCGGCTAATGTTCAGCGTGAGGACGTTTAGTTGTCTCATTTAGTCACGTGTTAGGATTCTCTTCAGTTTGTGTAAACAACAGACCATATTTCAAGCATTCCAAACAAAGACACGTCAAAAAACAACTGTTGACTTTTAGATAAGGGAATCAAAAGTGGTCAAATGCTAACTAATTTCCATGTCATAGAACTCATTCCTGCACAACTCTTTTGAACGCTACTTTATTTTACAAACCTAGTTTGCAAGTTTAATATAGAAGCGGTTTCCTTTTGCGTAAACTTCCTCCATACTGATGAACATCAGAGGAGCTAACTGTTGATGTTTGTGTGTCTCTTAGCTTTAGCGGATATCACCTGCACTCTGTTGCTGCTTAACCCGGACTTCACCACTGCATGGAATGTCAGGTACAGATACATTTTCGCAGCACAAATATTTGTTCTCTTTGAAGGTGAGCTGTTTGTTGTCTCTTGAAATATTGAATATCTCTTTACAAGACCTGATATTAAAAGCTGGATATAGTTAGGCTGGTGCATTGGCTGAGTGCTGTGACGATTATGTGGAAATACATATAATCCCAGTTCAACACACCACAGTGGGATTTAAGTATGCTGTACTGACCCTGTGGAAGAAGGCCACAGTCTGCAGTGGTGGGGGGGTAATGCACTACGAAGAAACGCATTACTGTAATCAGATTCCAGGGTTTCCCACACATACACTATACTTGGGCGGGCCGCCCAGTTATATTAACGTCCGTCAAAGCACCCCCCCCCCCCCCCATTGTTATTTGATTTGAGGTGCTTATCAGGCGATGTTATAGAGTAATCACAAAAAGTAATCTAACTAGTAGTGTAACTAATTACTTTCAGCAGTGAGTAACGAAGTAAAGAAAGGCATTACCTTTTTTTTTTTTAAAGAACCACTATGTGTAATGCATTACTTTATTTGAGTAACCAACACTGGTAGTGATGCATGGCTGCTTGTTGTTGCAGGAAGGAGCTGCTGCAATGCGGAGTCCTTAACCCAGAGAAAGACCTCTACCTGGGCCAGCTCGCCCTCACCAAATTCCCCAAGAGCCCGGAGACATGGATACACAGGTTAGACTTTGCTGCTTCTCCACATTGTCAGATTCACTCCTGCACATTACAGTGACTACAATGTTGTGGTTGATATGATTGGAAGCTGGTAAATATGTGAGTCAGTCAAACATTGGTCACAGGAACCAAACTACTCCCTTTTTCTATCAAATGATATCAACCTACAGTAAGCTAATTACTTTGATAATAGATTCTCACAAGGACAGTGGCACTTGAGATGGCAACTGATGATGCAGAGGTAGAGAAGATAGTTGACAACAAGTGCTTGCACATAGTCATTTTTGTTTTATAATATCGCCATAATGAAACAATACTCAAATATTTTTTGAATTGCCTTAATGGCAGCTCCTTCTCTCGGCTCCCTTTTCCCCCCGTACTCTGAGCTCATTGCACACACTCTTTATCTTTAGGCGAAAAGTAGTCGGGAAGTTAAGGATAAAGATTGTTTTCAAAAGGCACTACAAAAAAATCCACTTCTAGTTCCAATCATTATTCTTTCTGTATCCTGCAACGAAGCTGTACACAAGTTGAAGCAGTCCAAACGTTTGCTTTGACCACTCAACAACAACCTCTGCCCCAATAGTCACTGTGCCATCAACGTGCTGCTTCCAAAGCTGGAGAACTATGGTCTAAATTTAGATCGAGAAACTCTATTTAAACGCAGGTAAAGGTCCTGTGCCCCTGTATGCGTTTCTGTATTGGAAACAGGTTGTTAGATCCCTGTTTCTATAAAGACAAGAAGGACACGCACATAAGCATTATTTTAGCTTAGAACAACCATTACATAATAATATGTTTTGTGTTGTTGTTACACTGAACAAAAATATAAATGCAACACTTTTGTTTTTGCTCCCATTTTTCATGAGATGAACTCAAAGATCTAAAACATTTTCTATATACACAAAATAACCATTTCTCTTAAATATTGTTCACAAATCTGAAAAAATCTGTGATAGTGAGCACTTCTCCTTTACCGAGATAATCCATCCCACCTCACAGGTGTGGCATATCAAGATGCTGATTAGACAGCATGATTATTGCACAGGTGTGCCTTAGGCTGGCCACAATAAAAGGCCACTCTGAAATGTTCACTTTTATCACACAGCACCAGTGTTGTGCTAGTTACTGAAAACCAGTAACTAGTTACCATTACTAGTTACTTGCACCCAAAAGTAACGCGTTACTGTGAAAAGTAACTTTTTAGTTACTTTTCAAAATGGGCTCCCATTAATGCCCTTAAAGCCTTCATTTCAGTACTGTTATTGCATTGGAGAATAATACAATCTGTTGATCAACTTGACATGCCTTATATGCAATCTGGATTGCATCGATATTAGCTGGCTTTCCATTTTTGTATATTCTTTCTCCAGGTAGTTGGAAAAAGTTTTCCGTCCCATATGCCGTGTGCCGCCCGGACATGCTATCATGCTAACTAGCTCCCTGAAAGCGGGTGACTCCACTGTAGCAATAGCCTGCATGTGTTCTACAACATACCGTGCAATGGCTTAATCGACTTTTCCCTGGCCAGCAGTCCCTTGGTTAAAATCCAGCCGCTGTTGCTTAGGTGGAGGTGGAGTGGCGTCGGCTGAGTCTCTGTGGTCTTAGCTACTAGCTTCGTCCCAGCATGTTGTTTTTGCAGATGTTTTAAGAGATTTGAATTACTGGTTTGGGCAGTAGATAGGCTCTTTGACCCGCCAGGACACAACTTACATTTAACTAAAACGTTATTTTCTTTGTGCTCGACAAAAGTGAAATAGTGAGAATATCTCCAGGTGGAGAAACTAGACTTGAGCTCCGCCGCCGCCATGATAGTCTTGTTAGTAAACAACACAAACACGCCCACAGCCCGTCTCCGCATGTGACACAGGAAGTATCTAAGTACATTTACTCAAGTACTGTACTTAAGTACAGTTCTCATCTCTGTTCGCCTGGCTGTTGACTATATAAAAAAACTAACGGAGTAACGCACCATGTAGCAACGGCAACTGAGTTACTACAACGCGTTAGTCCCAACACTAAACAGCACAATGCCACAGATGTCGCAAGTTTTGAGGGAGCGTGCAATTGGCATGCTGACAGCAGGACTGTCCACCAGAGCTGTTGTCCGTGAATTGAATGTTCATTTCTCTACCATAAGCTAGGGATGCACCGAATATTCGGCCACCGAAAATTATCGGCCGAAAATGGTTAAAAAGGCCCTTTCGGCTGTCGGCCGAAAAAATATCACCGAATGTCAGAACAGGCTTACGTTGGTAACCTAACGTGTTGTTGTGATGACGTAATAAAGACGCGGCGACCATGCTCGCGGCTAGCTCACAGGGGGGGGGAACATTGACCTTTGTCATCGAGATTGCCCTGAGCCTTTAACAAATCGTATTAAATAATCTGATGACAGACTGTAAACAGAATAGCTGAAATTTTAACAAACTAAATAACTCAGTTACCTCTAATCATTAACCCATGTTTGTATAATGTAGTTAACTCCGTGTGTTGCTGCTAGCATACATAACACCTGACGTGGAAACGTTACTCGTGGATGGGGCTACAGAGCTGCTAGAAAGACAGTCGAACCCGGTACATTCCTCCGTCTGCATGCGGTGCACTTTTGCTAAATGTTTAGACAAATTGCTCGTGCTTACATGCTAAACTCTTATTGCACTTATGGTAACAAGTATTCTCCACATCGAGACGGGTAAAGTTTAACCACACCTCGGAGCGCGTTCTCTCCGCCATCTCCGCAGTGTGCTCCGCTGCATGTAGCAGCTGCGTGTGTGTAAACTGCCCCGCCCCCTCGCACACAGACCGGGGAGAGAGATCTCGTCTGATCGAAAATACATCATAGACGCATTTGTTGTCTTTGCATATTAGAAACGAGTTGGCGACACTAAGACTGCGATATAATGTTTTTTAGCAATAATACATGACATATATACATGTACTGTATGCATTCAAAAGTGCTGAATAAATGTTTTATGGACCCATAATAGTGATTATTATTTAAGTTAAGTTTTGCCATAATCATGTCTATTTCCATAATCAGGTAGCTGAACAACATTGGTAAAAAATGTATACATTATATATATATATATATTTCTATTAATCATTTTCGGCCTTTCGGCATTCGGTTTTCGGCCAACTGTTTCCTATTTTCGGTATCGGTTTCGGCCAAGAATTTCCCATTCGGTGCACCCCTACCATAAGCCGTCTCCAAAGGCGTTTCAGAGAATTTGGCAGTACATCCAACCGGCCTCACAACCGCAGACCACGTGTAACCACACCAGCCCAGGACCTCCACATCCAGCATGTTCACCTCCAAGATGGTCTGAGACCAGCCACTCGGACAGCTGCTGCAACAATCGGTTTGCATAACCAAAGAATTTCTGCACAAACTGTCAGAAACCGTCTCAGGGAAGCTCATCTGCATGCTCGTCGTCCTCATCGGGGTCTCGACCTGACTCCGGTTCGTTGTTGTAACCGACTTGAGTGGGCAAATGCTCACATTCGATGGCGTCTGGCACGTTGGAGAGGTGTTCTCTTCACAGATGAATCCCGGTTTTCACTGTTCAGGGCAGATGGCAGACAGCGTGTGTGGCGTCGTGTGGGTGAGCGGTTTTCTGATGTCAATGTTGTGAATCGATTGGCCCATGGTGGTGGTGGGGTTATGGTATGGGCAGGCGTATGTTATGGACGACGAACACAGGTGCATTTTCTTGATGGCATTGTGAATGCACAGAGATACCGTGACGAGATCCTGAGGCCCATTGTTGTGCCATTCATCCACGACCATCACCTCATGTTGCAGCATAATAATGCACGGCCCCATGTTGCAAGGATCTGTACACAATTCCTGGAGGCTGAAAACATCCCAGTTCTTGCATGGCCAGCATACTCACCGGACATATCACCCATTGAGCATGTTTGGGATGCTCTGGATCGGCATATACGACAGCGTGTTCCAGTTCCTGCCAATATCCAGCAACTTGGCACAGCCATTGAAGAGGAGTGGACCAACATTCCACAGGCCACAATCAACAACCTGATCAACTCTATGCGAAGGAGATGTGTTGCACTGCGTGAGGCAAATGGTGGTCACACCAGATACCGCCTGGTTTTCGGACCCCCCCAACAAAGCAAAACTGCACATTTCAGAGTGGCCTTTTATTGTGGCCAGCCTAAGGCACACCTGTGCAATAATCATGCTGTCTAATCAGCATCTTGATATGCCACACCTGTGAGGTGGGATGGATTATCTCGGCAAAGGAGAAGTGCTCACTATCACAGATTATTTTCAGATTTGTGAACAATATTTGAGAGAAATGGTTATTTTGTGTATATAGAAAATGTTTTAGATCTTTGAGTTCATCTCATGAAAAATGGAAGCAAAAACAAAAGTGTTGCATTTATATTTTTGTTCAGTGTATATTATTAGTCTATTTATAATACTGAAGCGCAGACACAAAACAACCCAATGTCAAAATTGGAACTTATAGTCCTGAATTTCCATCAGACACTTTGTCTCCTGTTTCAAATTCAAACTTTTTGACCTGCCCTCTGCTGTGTCACTACAAAATAAAGTTCCCTTTTGGCTGCTCTGACTAATCGGGACTGCACCCCTCCAGTGGCAGGAGGAGAGCTATTGTTAAATTGTATCATGGCTTTACATAACCTTGCCCCTACATACATCAGTGACTGCCTTTTCATTTTATAAAGGACACTCAGACTCTCCAATGCCTTCCTTTTAGAAGTACCTGAAGTATTTCACAAGAAATCTGGGGAGGCTCTAAACTGTGGAACAGCCTCCCCTTGGATCTTAGGACAGTAATAAAGTAAGGGGTAATTTTATCACTGTTCATGTTTTATGATCTAACTCTTTCTCTTTGTTTTTATAACTTGTATTTAATAATGTTCCTTACTCTTTATTTGTACGTATCTTGTCGTGTAAAGCACTTTCAGCTGCATCTTCCATGCCAGGTTCTAATTAAATAAAGTGTATTATTATTATTGTGATTGTCTGTCTGGTAAAAAGTAAGCGTACACCAGTGTCTGAAGGTGCTGACCCAGCAGTGGTTGTTTCCCTTTAGGCGCTGGGTGCTGCAGCAGATCCTGGGTCAGTGCTCTGCAGCGGACCGCAGCAAGAAGCGTCAGCAGGGGGACGCAGAGCGGGGGGACGCCGAGCAGGGGGGCGCCGAGCGGGGGGATACAGAGCGGGGGGATGCAGAGAGGAGCCAGCAGCTCAGCGAGCACCTGGCCCGGACGCTCCACCAGGAGATGAAGGTGTGCTCTGACGCCGCCTGCCGTTACCCCAGCAACTACAACGCATGGTCCCACCGCATCTGGGTGCTGCAGCACATGGGCCAGGGCAACGTCAAGGTAGGATCAGGAAGAGATGCATTTTATATATTTTCTTTGTTTTAAGATTTAATTTTATTGTGATAAGAGTGTCAACATATTTAACATAACTGTATTAGTTTAGTTGAAAGCAATCATTTTAAGTTTAAATAAAAAATATTAGGTTCAACTTAATATTATTGCTTTCAACTAACCTAATACAGTAATGTGAAATTTGTTGACCTATATAAAAGAAATTCAAGGTTTCTGTTTTTTTCAGTGTATTACAATACTACATTGTACAAGTGTTTGTCTACCACTTAAAAATCAAAACTGCTCCACCAGTTAAAATTCTGCTCAAAAATGGTAGGTCAACCCTGTGAGAGAATCTATGAATCAGCCTTCATAATAGGTTTCAAGGTTCTTATTTGTCATACGAACATAGCTACAGTGTAGTTATGACGATGACAATCTTAGGTCACAGGCTCCTCCAACAGTACAATACAATAAAACAGATGAGCTGAAAAATATAGTGCAAGTAAATACAAAACAAACAAAAAAAGTAAAATATGATATATTAGATAAATAATTTCTAAGTAGCAGCCAGATGAATGTTGTGGATGTTGTTTCAAAGTTCAGGTGTTTAACAGTCTTATGGCCTGTGGGATGAAACTGTCCCCGAGTCTGGTGGTGTTAGTCCGGATGCTGCGGTAGCGCCTGCCAGACGGCAGCAGACAGAACAGTTTGTGGCTGGGGTGATGGGGGTCTTTTATAATCTGGAGGGATTTCTTCCTGAGCTGCTGGGAGTAAGGCAAGGCAAGTTTATTTATATAGCACCTTTCAACACAAGGTAATTCAAGGTGCTTTACAAAAATGAAAGACATTCAGACAAAGGCATTTAAAAACAGTCATTAAAAAGAAAAGATAATAAAAGAAACATTAAAAGACTGTCAAAGTTTTTCCCCAAAACTAAGAAAATACCCATAGTCGTACCTAGTAACCCACTATAAAATAGTCGTACCTTGTATCCTACTACACTATCACTATCACAATAGTTTTAGTAAAACTAAGAAAATGTACCCTATAGTCCACCCTCGAACTATAAGATCCTTTAGTTTTTTCCGAGACTAATAAAACTGGCCTCTAGTTTGACCCACAAACCATTTTAAAGTATTTTAGCTAAGTTTACCTGTGTCTTTCTAGGACTTTTTTGGTATCCTTCCACGAACCAGGTGTTTGAAACCAAAACGATGCCTGTATTGACGTTCTCTCCTGTGTCGGTGAAATATCACTCGACACCAGGTTGAGAATCAATGATCAGTTAATAAAAAATACATGAATAAAAAGTACATGAATAAAAAGTTACAGTGCAGTTTAAGATATGAATAGTTCACACACAAGTTCCACTTTACTGATGAACACAACGGCTCAGTTTAAATTTAAAAGCAGCGACAAAAAGAAAAGTCTTCAGCCTGGATTTAAAAGTAGTCAGAGTTGCAGCAGACTTGCAGGTTTCTGGGAGTTTGTTCCAGATATTTGGAGCATAATAACTAGTGCTGGGGGGAAACGATTATTTTGAAAACGATTAATCGGGCGATTATTTTATCGATTAGTCGACTAATCTAACGATTATTTTTCTGTTGTTCGATTAATAAAAAACGTAATGTATCTCAAATAAATACCAAAAAATTCTTAATAATATTTTTTTTTTTTTAATGAGCGCCCCAAAAAACAACACAGCCGTTAGCTGTTAGCACTCAGAGCTCACAGCTCTTCATATCTGTTCAGAAACTAGACAAAAGTTAAACAAGTACAAACCACAGACTGCCTGTGTCATGGTGAATACAGTCGCTGGTTTATTTATGTCTGTAGGCCGTTGTTGTGAGCGTGGACGGTCGGAGCATATATAACGTTAGCTTAGCCAAGCTACATTCAGAAAACACGCATTTTAAAAGGTTTTTCGCCTGCCGTCTGTCTGCAGACTTGTCAAAGCATTAATTTATGGTTTTTACTAACCGGTATCAGTATGTTGTTACTTCGGCATCATTTTGAAACGTGTATTACAATTAAATCACGGTCAAATATGTTCATCTTGTTGTAGTTGTAGCCCCCTTGCCAGCGATTCTCTCTCTAGTTTAGCATACTCAGCCCGACTCAGCCTGGTTGTTCCTGGCCCTAGAACCACGATTTAGTCGGGCCAGAAAAAAGGTGAAAAGGTAGCCCCGGGCCAAAACTAGGCCAAGTGGAAGCGCAACCAAAAACGGGCCCGGCCCGGCTCGGCACGCTTAAAGCGAGATACCCGCTGCAGTGGAAACGCGCCATAAGCTGACTAACGTTAGTCTAATGTTATGTTTGACTCGTAAAGGACCACAACATGAGTTAGCTCTCTGTGCAGTTAGTTCGTTCCGGGTTAGTAGTGGCTAGATAGCGGTGTACTGCAGATGTAAACTAGCTACCATTCCAGCCAACATTAAATGCTGACAAACGTTAACTAACACACAGCTGGCGCCGCTAGCTAGGTAGCTAACATTAACTACTAACCAACCAAGCACGAACAAACCGCACGGAGAGCTATAAGATAGTTAGCACTACCGAAGTGCACAGAACTCAAGCTGCACAACACACTCCACAAACGTGGAATTAATTTAGCCAAAGTTAGTAGGCTACTTACTTATCATTGTTCCCTTCACGAGAGACAAGGGGGTGCCTCCGCTTTAAATGCTCCAACATAGCTGTTGTGCTAGTGTGGTATGCCAACTCCATTTGGCAAAGACTGCAAATAACAATGCCTTTGCGTTCTGGACTAAATTTAAAGTATTCCCATGCTTTTGAAGACCTAGGGCGAGATGTTTTTGTTTGGGGGCTTTTTGCAGGGCTTCGTGCGCAATCCTGTGAGGAGGAGGTGGTAGCCGTTTCAGTCTCCATTGTGTTTGAAGTGTGATTGCGAACTGCTTGTTGCTTTGGGTGACCCACGTGTGTGTGGCGATGCGTTGACGAGGAAATCTGTCGTCGACGAGATTTTGAAGTCGACATCGTCGACGCGTTGCTACAGCACTAATAATAACTGAACGCTGCTTTACCATGTTTAGTTCTGACTCTGGGGACAGAAAGCTGACCAGTCCCTGAAGACCTGACAGATCTGGATGGTTCATAATTTAGCAGGAGGTCAGAAATGTATTTTGGGCCTAAACCATTCAGTGCTTTATAAACCAGCAGCAGTATTTTGAAATCTATTCTTTGACACACAGGAAGCCAGTGTAAAGACTTCAGAACAGGAGTGATGTGATCCACTTTCTTAGTGTTAGTGAGGACTCGAGCAGCGGCGTTCTGAATCAGCTGCAGCTTTCTAATAGATTTTTTAGTGAGACCTGTGAAGACACCATTGCAGTAGTCGAGTCTACTGAAGATAAAAGCATGGACAAGTTTTTCCAAATCCTGCTGTGACATTAGTCTTTTAATCCTAGATATATTCTTTAGGTGATAGTAGCCTGATTTAGTAACTGTTTTAATGTGACTGTTGAAACTCAGGTCAGAGTCCATGACTACACCTAGATTTCTGGCTCTCTGTTGTTTTGAACATTAACTTTTATACATTCTGCCTAGGAGTAGAGGTCTTTCATGGATGGCAGCTCCGTCCTGGTGATGTTCTGTGCAGTTTTCACCACCCTCTGTAAAGCCTTACGATTGAGGGCGGTGCAGCTGCCGTACTAGGCCGTGATGCAGCCAGTCAGGATGCTCTCTATGGTGCTCCTGTAGAAGGTCAGGATGCTCTCTATGGTGCTCCTGTAGAAGGTCAGGATGCTCTCTATGGTGCACCTGTAGAAGGTCAGGATTAGGGATGGGTACCGAGCCGGTGTTAAACGGGCCTTGGGGCTGAATTATTAAAGACCGTGGTACCGTTAAGCTCCGACGTTATTGGTCTTTTTATCGGTACTGGAGACATCTAAAAAATGTGTATTATTGCTACACAAACATTATATTGCAGTTTTAGTGTCGCCAACTCCGTTTCTAATACGCAAAAAGACTGCAAAATGCGTCTATGGTTATTTTTAGTATTTTCGATCTTTCCAATCCAGTCGAGAGATCTCTCCCTCTCCCCTGTCTGCTTGGGAGGGGGCGGGGCGGTTTACACACGCAGCTGTTACATGCAGCAACACACACACGGAGGAGATGGCGGAGCGCTCCGAGATGTGGTTAAACTTTACCCGTCTCGATGTGGACAATGCTCGTTACCTAAAGTGCAATAAGTGTTTAGCATGTAAGGGCGGTAACACGAGCAATTTGTCTAAACATTTTGCAAAAGTGCTCCACATTCAGACGGAGGAATGCACCGGGTTCCACTGTCTTTCTAGCAGCTCTGTAGCCCCATCCACGAGTAACGTTTCCACGTCAGGTGTTATTTATGCTAGCAGCAACACACTGAGTTAACTCAATTATACAACCATGGGTTAATGATTAGAGGTAACTGAGTTATTTATTTTGTTAAAGTTTCAACTATTCTGTTTACAGTTCTGTCATCAGATTATTTAATACGATTTGTTAAAGCATTGCGGTTTCTTTTGATGTGAAATAATAATTTGTTCACAATTTGTTTAGTTGGTTTACCTTCTTTTTTTTCTCCAAAAGAACCGATAAGAGTACCGTTAAAAGACCGGACCGATAAGCGGTATCGATAAAAGTAGTAGTACCGTTAAAACCTTAAAGATACCCATCCCTAGTCAGGATCCTCACCTGTAGAAGTTTCAGAGTATCCTGGAGTCCATGTTGAACCTCCTCAGCCTGCGGAGGAAGAAGAGCCGCTGTCGAGCTTTCTTGGTGATGGTGGTGGTGTGAAGAGTCCATGTCAGGTCCTCAGTGATGTGGACCCCGAGGAACCTGAAGCTGCTGACTCTCTCCACCGTAGTCCCATTGATGGCGATGGGGGCGTGTCCCTCTCTCTGCTGCTTCCTGTAATCCACAATCAGCTCCTTGGTTTTGCTGACGTTGAGATGGAGGTTGTTATCCTGGCACCAAGATGTCAGGTTTTCGACCTCCTCTCTGTACGCCGTCTCGTCGCCGTCGGTGATCTGGCCGATGACGGTCGTGTCGTCAGCAAACTTCACGATGGTGTTGGAGCTGTGTGTGGACACGCAGTCGTGAGTGAACAGGAAGTAGAGGAGAGGGCTGAGCACGCAGCCTTGAGGGGCTCCGGTGTTGAGGATCAGGGTGGAGGATGTGATGTTTCCCACCCGCACTGCCTGGGGCCTGCCCATCAGGAAGTTCAGGATCCAGTCACAGAGGGTGCTGTTGAGCCCGAGGTCTCTGAGCTTGATGGCCAGCTTGGAGGGCACAATGGTATTGAAAGCTGAACTGTAATCAATGAACAGCATTCTCACATAAGTGTTCCTCTGGTCCAGGTGTGTGAGGGCAGTGTGGATGGTGAGGGCTATGGCGTCGTCTCTGGACCGGTTTGCTCTGTAGGCACACTGCAGGGGTTCCAGAGAGTCAGGGAGGGAGGAGGTGATGAAGGGTTTGACTAACTGCTCAAAGCACTTCATGATGATGGAAGTGAGTGCTACTGGGCGGTAGTCGTTGAGGCTGGTGATTATTGTGTTTTTGGGGACAGGAACGATGGTGGAGTGTTTTAAACATGTGGGGACTACAGACTGCAGCAGGGACCTGTTGAAGATGTCTGTGAACACATCTGCCAGCTGAACTGCACACACCCTGAGAACACGGCCAGGGATGCCATCAGGTCCAGGAGCCTTGTGTGGCTTTTAAAGGATTTGCACACGTCTGCCCTGTTTAAAACAAAAGGGCAGGGCTCCTGGTCCTTCTGTGCTCCCACAGCCTGGCTGCTCTCAAATCGTGCAAAAAATCTATTCAGCTCATCTGGGCGAGATGCGCACGCAGACACTCCCGCAGCACCCCCCGCTGCTCCTTTGTAGTCTGTAATTGTTCTTTGTCCCGCCCACATGTTCCGGGTGTTACGGCCTTTGAAGTCAGATTCCACCTTGTCTTTGTATTGTCTCTTTGCGCTGCTGATTGCTCTCCGGAGTTCATACCTAGAATTCCTGTACTCCTCCAAATCTCCAGCTCTGTACGCGATAGTGCCTCGCCGTTTATCCAGGGATTTTGATTCGGGAATGTTTGTACAGAAACCTTCGGTACCACGTCATCGATGCATTTCCCAATGTAGCAAATGTCCGTGTTTGTGTTGATGTTGTTGTCCTCAAACACACTCCACTCCGTAGATGCAAAGCAGTCTTGCAGAGCTGAGTTTGACTCCTCACTCCAGCGTTGTACTGTCTTTGTCGCCGATCTGTCCCGTTTGAGTTTCTGCTTGTAAGCAGGCAGCAGCAGCAGCAGTGAGGGCGAGGGAGAGCCTTATATCCATGTTGAAAAGGAGAATAAACATGGTCCAGTATGTTTCCCCTGCGCGTCTGGCAGCTGATGTGTTGGTAGTACTTCGGCAGGACCTTCTTCATGTTAGCGGTGTTAAAATCCCCGGCCACAATGAACTGGCCGTGAAGTCTCGGTCTTGTTGATAATCCCAAACAGCTGATCGAGTGCCGTGTTGTTGTCGGCGTGTGGAGGCGGAATATAGACTGCTGTGATCACAACAGATGTAAATTCTCTCGGCAGGTGAAAAGCCTGGCATGTGATCATGAGGTGCTCTAAATGAGCGGAACAGTCCGAAGAAATAACCCTCACATCTGTACACCAGTTCTTGTTAATCATGATACACACACCGCCTCCTTTACTTTTCCCTGAGTTAACTGTTCGGTCCTGGCGGAAAATAGTGAATCCGCCAGGATTAATGACGTAGTCCGTGATAGCGGGGTTCAGCCAAGTCTCGGTGAGAATGAACACGTTACAGTTCTTAATGTCGTCCCGTTGAAAAGCAATCCGACTTCTGAGTTCATCTAGCTTATTTTCAATCGATTGAACATTAGCCAGAAGAATACTCGGAAGAGGAGGTCGGTTTCCTCGTTTTCTCAGTCTGACCAGCAGCCCGGCACGGGACCCTCGCTTTGTCTTCCTCCTGCGTCTCTCAGGTAAGACAGCAACAGGCAGCCATGGCGAATCTCCATTGTCTGTCGGTGGGCTGTTGTCCACCACAACAATAATATAATAGCATATTAACATCATCTTTGACCCCAGCCACGTTCTGAACAGTCAATATGAATTGGTACCATCGAATCAGAGATACAGGGCCGGCGATTTAACAAAGTCAGACTGAAGCACTCCTTCAAGTCAAATGAACGCTAAAGGATCATTTTTTTCTTTTCTCTTCAGTGATCACGATGTTATGTCAAATGTTTGTTTTGCTTGTATCGTGTCTTGAGATGTGTCCTTGTTTGATGTTGCAAATGAAGCTGCTCTGATGCAAGTAAAATGTCATGCTTGATCTGACAATAAATGATAATGGAATGTATTGTATCCCAGGTTCTCCATGATGAGCTGTCCTCCATGCGCCTGTGGGTGTCCATGCACGTGTCCGACCACAGCGGCTTCCACTACCGCCAGTTCCTGCTCAAGGCGCTGATCACTGAGCTCTCCCAGACTCCAGCTTCCACCTCCTCCCCCCAGCAGCGGTGCAGCACAGCCCCCAGCAGCAGCCATCTCCACCACAGCCAGGCCAACGGGGAGCTGTCAGAAGGAGAGGCAGCCACCGATGAGGAGTGGCAGCTGAGCGCCAACACAGTCCTACAGCTGTTCCACCAGGAGATGGAGCTGTGCTCAGACCTCATCCAGTCCTTCCCCGGGCACGAGACCCTCTGGAGTCACAGGTGAGCCTTCAAAGGGGGCCATAACGGACATTTGTCCATTTCTGGTGCTTTTTATTTGCTGGTGTCGTTGGTTTTCACATTTGTAAGATCTGACTATCTGCGACCAGCAGTGTAAAGTAACTAAGTACATGTACTCAAGTACAATTTTGAGATACTTATACTGGAATTAAGTATTTAAATGTTATAATAGTGTACTTTAACTGCACTACATGTATTTAATCTCTTTAGTTACTTCACAGATGTGGATGAATGGTGTGAAATCTAACCAAGTGTTGAATCAGACTTTAGTTCCACCTGGAGTAAATCCACCAGCTACCCTGCAGTATACAAAGTCATTCAGACTAGCTGCACCTTTACCAGCTTTGAGAACACTTTCATGATCAATCATTATAAAACATATCATATATATTATTCTGAGATGGACCAATCTGCACAACGACTACTTTTACTTTTAATACTTTACGTTTATTTGTATACTAATACTTTTGTACTTTTACTTGAGTAACATTTAGAATGCAGGACTTTTACTGTAACAGAGTATTCCTACAGTGTGGTACTTTATTTAAGTACGAGATCTGAATACTTCCACCTCTGTTTGCGACTTTCAAACCTGTCAAATGCTGTGGGTGACTATATCTTGGTAGATCAACTGAAGAACTATCTTTGAATACAATTTCTTGGAACTTGTATCACCATTTATAATGTCTACAGTTACTCCTCGAAATAGTGTACTACAGCCAACAATTTGGGTTTTTACACCAAATGCATTATTAACTTCTAAAATATGATTATTTGTTGACTGCAAAAAAGAGTCTGTTTTTAGCTGTCTGATTCCTCAAACAAGTGTACACATCAACTTGTTTCAAATATGTTCTAAAAACAAGTTTCTTTAAATAAAAATGCTTGAATTCCTATTTGTAACAAATACACTAGCAGTAGTTAAAATACCATATCCAATGGAGTATTGTGGTGCTGGAGAGATATCCCTGCCTACAATACATATTATGAAGACTTAACAAAACATATTTGTTTGGTACAGATCCCAATTTAAAACATCACGCCACGTTATGCCACGATAATAATTGTTATTATTCAAAAAAAGAAAATAAGTAATACCTTACATTACTTTATTACTCACTGCTGAAAGTATTTACTTACACTACTAGTTACATTACTTGTGGATGACTCTATAACATTGCCTGATAAGCACCTCAAATCAAATAACAATATAAAGTTAAACCTCATTTCTGCCAGATCAGCACAAACCCTTCATCTAATAAACACTGATCACAGAGCTCTGTTTCTGCTCCTTGTCTGAACATCATGTTTTCTGTGGCTCAGTTATCAGAACTCTGGTCCAGGTAGCTTCAAGTGTTCCTGTCTGATGGCGGCCGCCCCCCCCACGTTATCAATATGTTTCTGAAAGATGGCGAACATGTCCTCCATGCTGTACGCTGCGACTTTTTATCTCTGCTATGAAACTCTGACATTTTTGCTCCGTCTCCTCATCCATGAACTCGGAGTGTAGCGCAAGCCAAAAGGGACATTTGATTTATTTTTCTGTCCTCCCGTTATGCAGATAGTCGGAGTAATTATCTAAGATAAATGTAATCTGATTTCTGTAACATGTTACTTTGCAGCACCTAACCCCCAGCACTGTTCATAACTGAATGTATGTTTCCATCCCTTCTAGGAGGCACGTGTTCTACTTGTGGCACCACTGGAGGAGGGAGCAGCAGCAGCAGAAGGGCAGCACAAACGGAGAGAGCAGGTCGGGGGTCCTCAGCAGTAACGGGGACCCTGCCCCCCCCACGCTCAGCGCTCAGAGCTCTGCAGGTGGAGGGGGCGGTGTGAACGGACAGGGCCACGCTGCTCAAGCTATGGAGGTCGACGGGGCGCCCTTGCCCGACCCGCGGGACAGCAAAAGACTAAAGACAGGCGTCCGGCCGCCCAGCCCCCCCGCCCTGCCCTCTGAGCCCAGCTTTGTGAGCGGCTTTCTGGACGGCTGCTGCAACCCTGAGCAGAGACGCTTCGCCCTGGCATACAAGAAGTGGTTAGACACTGTCATCGGTCAGCAGCCTTGACGGAGAACAGGCAGCCCCATCCAGCTTTCTCAACATTGAAGTTGCCTTTAGACACAGATTTAGGATCAGCTGACTCACTGACAGTGTGTCCGATGCAGCGCGGCGACTCTCCTCCTGACAGTGAGAGCGTGGGGGAGTTCGACCACGCCCAGTCTGTTCCTTCTCTGAAACATCTGGATTCTCTTGAACTTCATCTGAGCCAGCACCCCTTCAGAATGGAAATGTTCACGATGTGGCCACCACAGGTCACCTCAGGTCAAACTGCCACTGCTTCTGTTAGTGGCAGTTCGGCACTCTTCTGCACATCTTACTTGGTTTCAGTATTTCAGAAATGCAGCTGCCACAGGAGGAGCACAAAGCAGAATGTGCATGCATTCTAACTCTCGAAAAATCTCACTTAACAAATGAAATAATCATAAATAAATAAAGTAGGATAAATAAATGACACAATCATTTGTGACATAGTTTAACAATTATTAAACCTCAATTTATTATTTTACAGTAAGAGTTTTATTTAATTTGTTCTCTTCTTTCAAAAGTCTTAACTCTAGAGTGAAAGCTGAGGGGGATATGAAGACTAAGAATAACAATAGGAAAACTTCACTTCGCGCATTGCATTATTTAGGTTCCAGCGTTCTCTCGATGAGACATGCATACTGACTGGTGCTCCAGAGACCTGACGCAGAGGATCATGGGATCCCTTGGCCCTCATTGCTTGCAGTGACAGGGTTTAAGCACACCCCGGTTTTCCTTCAAACTTCCTTAATTTTCCGTTCTGAAGGCGGTAACATTTATTAATCATGTCATGTTCTCTTCTTTTCCGTTCTGTGGGTCCTTGGTTTGCTGCTCCTGGTCAATTTCTCTGCTGAATATTGTCAGTAACTCCAATCTATGTAGCTAAGTGCTAAATTACAGTAGCTTGCAACAGAAAGCCAAAAAAGCTATTAGTTAGCTAAATATAACGTTATGTTTACCATGTGTAAAGTCAAGCTAACTTGCAAAGTCTTACCTTCTGGCAACCTGAAGCACTTAATATATAAGCAGAGAAATGTTAGCTTTAGCAGTTTAGCGGCACTGATGTTTGACTTGAAGGATAAAGAGCGGGGGAGGTGCCCCCCCCCAACATTCTGTGGTGCTACATGCTGCCGTTTCTACACCTACTTCATCTGTTACAGGTGTGTAGTGTGCAACACTGAACAGCACTTTGGACTATTTGATGATAATAGGCAATCATTGTTTTGTGGGGTACTATTGACTTACTGACTCTTTTTGAAAATATTGTCTTATTTTGCACCAAGCTTGTTAACATTAGTCCTAGCTGCTTTGTGTTACTACCTTGTACAAAAATAGAGGTAACATGAACAAGGTCAAGGTCTACCTTCTGTATTTGTGTTAAGGAATCACTTATAACACTCTTTTAAAAGTTGTAACATGCTGCACAGTTCATCCCTTCAATAGAGTGGTGCAGTAACGGAAGTTAGCATTGCAAGGGCTCCCTCGACTAAAAGCAATGGGATTTTTCCTTTGGATAAAAAGATAGAAGATAAGATCAAACTAAAGTTATTGATACTTACACATTTGTTCTGCAGGATAATCTCCACATATTAACACCACTTTATGTTTTTTGAAGCTTAAATGCAACTGCCAGAAGTAAAAAGTTAACTATCTATAAGCTACAGCACGGTCACCACCGCTAAGCTAATGGCGGCTAATGTTAAGTGTAATGACCTTAAGTAGTCTCATTTAGACGCTTGTTGGCAGCAGCTGTTTTTGTGACACAGAAGCTTCCAAAATTCACTAGTGGGGCTTTTACTGACGTATTTTAAGTCGTAAAAAAAAAAGTGAAAATCTCTTCAGCTTGCTTTCATCGCATACCTTATTTCGGTAGATCTAACCAAAAACTTGTTTAATAAACAGTTGTCTCCTTATACGAGGGATCAGGAAGTGGTAACATGCTAACTCATTTCTAGGATTTTGGACTCACTCCTGCACCACTCTATAATGTAGAAGGTGTAAATGCTAGCTCCTCTCACCACACTGGCTCATCTGTATTAATATGGAAAGAATGGTGTGTTAGAACATATAATGGACTTCAGTTTGAATAGGATCTATCGTTTTGGGACGTTATGGGTCCTTCTCACTATTTGTTTAGCTTTGTCAATGAATATATCGTCACACAAGGTAAAAACACACACAATAACACGGAGGCATTTGTTACATTAGCATCCACGATCTAGTCTAGCTGCCTGCATTGTGAACCCGGAAATGTTGAGTGTCCCAAAGTTTTATGTTAGAAATGAATAGTACGGATCCAAAGCACATAGAAACTGCACGATGCTAACTTGCATATGCACAATTAGCATACGTTGCGTTAATTAAATTGAATGGCATTATAGCCTATATGTAAACAATATTTTTTTTTTTAAAAAAGCACATGGTCGGTTTGGACCATTTCTGCATGGTTTTGTGGGTTGAGGATGCTGAATCCATTTTAGGATCAAAAATGTTTTAACCAGAAAATGCCAATATTTGTACTCTCGTGGGCCGATTTTGATTACCATGAGTAGTGTTGCGACCACTGGATATAGAGAGCACAAGAATACAATGATTATCTCTAGTGTGGACAATTCAAAGGTCCAGAATCCACTAAAACTTCAAAATTGACCAAAAATGTATCAAAACCAGCCCAAAGAGAGTACAAATATGTACATTTTCTGTATAAACTGCCATTATTTATCTGGAAAATGTCAGAAATGTATTCGGCATCCTCAATAACCTCCAATACCACTCCAAAATTGTCCAAATCTGCCAAGCTATTTTTAAACTGTTGTCATATTGGTAATGAATGCTTATGCTAATTGTGCAAATTGCCCAGCGTATGCAAGTTAGCATCTGGCAGTTTCTATGTGCTGGGGACCGTACTATACATTTCTAACATAAAGCTTTGGGGTACCCAATATATCCTGGTTCACAATAGTACTCTACGAGGTGGCAACTAGACTGTGTTCACATGCATCTCAGATCACATCTAAATGTGGCAGGAGCATTGTGATGCAGTGTGTGTAGTATGTAGAGGTTCCTTCTGATTGGCTGCATTGAGACGATATGCTGCGTTGGTGCAGACGCTAGTCAAGCTCCCCATTCCACCGTCTCCATCAGCTTCCATGTAACCCTTACCACTTTGTACCTTCTCTTAGAAACTACAATGTAAGAGTTATGGAGTGCGATGCTTTGTCACCTCAGATCACCGTGTACATGATCAACGGAAATCTTGAAACTAGTCTTTTTTTGAGCCGTGTATTCTTTACGTTTGTAAACCAAGAACGGGTGCATATCAGAACTGTACGATGGGGGTATTTTAACAACCTTGCAGACCTAGTACACAAACTTTGAATACAAGACTATCTATGCAGAAAAGTTATTTTTAAAGGTTCAACAAGCTTTTAAAAGAATAATGTAGCTTTTGTTTGTTTCTAATTTATTCTTCAGTTTACTTATGTATGTCCTCCATGAATAATCCCTAGCATCTCATTACTTTTCTATTTATTTATAGTCTTTTATCTTCACTTTCAGTGTTTTGTCATTTGCTTACCAAGATAATAAATATCATCTGGGATAAAGTGTAGCTTGTCTGATATCTGTATCTAGTCACAAGCATCCTTTTCTTATTCTCTTTACTCTCAGAAGCATCTTTGAGCATTAGGAAAACCGCTATAAGAATGTATTATTATTATTTGACTCACAACTAACTGCTGTCACTTTTCCCTGAGCGCAGCAACACACATGTCTTCCAGGAGGGTCTGTGCACATGTATCTCTACATATCAACAAAATCATGTACAAATTCATTCTTTTTTTTACAGTAATGAGCACAAAACCTTTTATTCCCCATTTCGAAAACTATTTCTCAAAGTGTTAACTGTTTTTGTACTGAACAGCAACGGAGCTACTGAAGGGAAAACAGAAACATCCAGCCCTCACACAGCCTCATCAATCTACTCTCAATAACCATGATGAAAAGCAAAAACGAGCTTCGCTTCTGAATTAATTTTATTAACACAAATGATATCATTTCTGAAGCTTAAATGCGACTGCCAAAGTAAATAGCTAATGTTTGGCAATAAAAGAACGACATCAGTTGCTTGGCTGTGCATCACCACCGCTAAGCTAAAGGTGGCTAATGTTTGGTGCGGTGATGGTTAGAAGTCTCAATTAGTTAGCAACTGCTGTTATTAGGACACTGCATTCACCAGTGGAATATTTCTTAATGTATTTTATGTTATGCTTCTTTCCAGAATTGGAGGACATTTTCTGTCCCACCTATAACATTTCAAAAAATCCATGTGTAAAAAATGCTAAAACATTCTCTTGTTGTGCTACTTGTCCTGAGACAAAATGTAGAAAAAGTGGTTTTAAAATGTTTTTTTTTCTTTAGTAAAAGATTAAATGTATATATGATTTAGCATGTGTTAAATGTATTACTTAATTTTTTTTACACAAAGTGAAAGTGCTGCAAATCTTCCAGAGTGCGTCTAGAGTACTGTATCCAGGTCCTCAGGTGGAGAAGTACTCAGATCTTGAGTAAAAGTCGAAGTACCAGAGTGTAGGAATACTCTGTTACTGTCCTGCATTACAAATGTTATTCAAGTAAAAGTACAAAAGCATTAGCAACAAACATATTAAGTACCAAAAGTAATCATTGTGCAGATTGGTCCATTTCAGAATAATATATATGATATGTTTTATAATGATTGATCATGAAAGTGTTCTCAAAGCTGGTAAAGGTGCAGCTAGTTTGAATGACTTTGTATACTGCAGGGTAGCTGGTGGATTTACTCCAGGTGGAACTAAAGTCTGATTTAACACTTGGTTATATTTCACATCATTCATCCAGATCTGTGAAGTAACTAAAGGTATATAAATGTAGTGGAGTAAAAGTACACGATTTACCTCTGAATTGTAGTGGAGTAGAAGTAGGCTACAACGTAGCAAACAACTAAAATACTCAAGTAAATTACAAGACCCTCAAAATTGTACATTTACTTTTACTTTACACCAACAATGCAGAGGCTGTGTCCTGTGATTAATTGACGGTGACGGAGGGAGGGGCTGGGAACACACACACACACACACACACACACACACACACACACACACACACACACACACACACACACACACACACACACCCCTCCACATAGACAGACAGCAGCCGCTACAGGGAAGATGGAGGATGGTTTGGCAGCGGCGGAGCGGACCTCCAGTCTGCAGCAACATCGCAGCTGAAAGCGGGTGAGTGTGCCTCTGTTCGTCTAAACCTGGCTCTCTGTTAGCCGACAGCGACGACACAACCCGGGGAGACAGACAGCCCTGCGGCGGCTCTGTTCGCACCGAGCGGACGGTGTGTTGTCGCGGCTCGGATTGTTCACTGTTTGAGGAGGGGCTACGGGAAAAGATAACGGCAGAGAAAATGCCACACAAGGATGGAAGGGAACCGCTCTGGCTGTACACTCCCGTGGATATGCACCATAGAATGTGCGGACGGGGCTTTGTGCTGGTAGTGAAGCGGTCCACAGGGCCCTGTTTGTGGCAGGTGCAGCAAGGCTAACCACATTCTGGTCAACACGGTGGCCTGGTTGGGTCTTCTTGAGTAGTGTGGCTCCCTGGGTTATGTTTCTGTCAAACCAGGACCCAGCTTGTGTTCTGTGTGATGCAGCAGGAGCCACTCAGACACACACAGTATGTTCTGCAGAGCCTGTGTGATGAGAGATGCTGCAGGTTATACTGTGTGTCTGCAGCACCTCATGCAACAGGGAAACCCAGGTTTAAAGTTCACATTCTGAATTAAAGTGAAACCAAATGAGTATTTGGCCATCCCTCATTTAACAAAAGGTTATCAGCTGTTTTTTTTTCTTCTAAAATGGTATTATTGCAATTTTTCCATTAAAAGGAAATAAATACGTTTTGAGGGAAAATCCTTTTTCTATCAGCAGCTCGATGGGGCGTGGCAATGTGCGAGTTTGATTGACAGCAGTTGTCGGCTTAACCCCAGCGGGGGAAAAAGAAACAAAACAAGAGCTAGCTTACAAGCTATGGCAGTGTTATTAGCATTGGTGCTGAAGAGTCAGGATGCTCAGAGGGAGATCTGCAGTAGGCTTGGAAGGGCAAGATCTTTGTTCAACAAGATACTGATTGGCCACAATATTGTTCTTAATGTCCACGTTAACGGAACCACATTAAATAATGCACCTCCTGTTGGGATTTATTTCCTATAGTCAGTGTCTCCCTTTTTCCTTTATCTTGCCATATTTATGTATCACTAAGTGTTTCCCCTATATATTTAGAGTTGCCCAAATATTTGGATACCCGATTTAGAAGGAACTACTCCTTCCGCAATAGATGAACTATGGCAGGTCATGGATAGAGGGCTTGGCTCTGTTGGTTCCGTCAGAGGCTTGTTGCCACATTTTTCAGGGCCGGACTCATAACTGGACTACATTGGCTTGCAGTCCGCTCACCAGGAACTGAATCCTGGATTGACGAAGGACTGCTCCACCGGCTGCAGGGTACGGAAAATGTTTCCTCTGTTGGGTGCCACATTAACTCTCAGTCCTGATCCTGGAGGTTAAGGAATCTTATTTCTGGTTCTGGAGGTTGAGACTCTCAGTTCTGGAGGTTAGGGTCTCTCCGTTCTGGTCCTGGAGGTTAGGGGCTCATTAATGATCCTCAGTTCTGGTCCTGGAAGGTTAGGGGCACTGAGTATCATTTCTGCATGTAAGGGAGTCTCAGTTGTGGTCTTGGAGTTTGGGGTCTTAAGGTTCTGGTCCTGGAGTTTAGGAATTCTCGTTCTGGAGGTTATGGGTCTCTTCATGTAATCTGTAACGAGTTACACAGTAAGTAAAAGAACATTCAAATGATAAAGATGTAATGATGATCTTAAATATACATGAAAGCCTGACACTGGTATTGTAAACGATAAATACAAAGTTGCTCTGGTCTTCCATTAGTGGTGATCAGACGGGGATTCTTCTTTTTTTGAGGTCACATTTCTTTTTCACTTACCTTGGTAATGCTTATTTGTACAGCGTGCGTTACATCAGAAAACGACATAGTAAGGCAGTCGATGAGCACTAGCCCATCAGAGGCGGAGTAGGGAGGGCATTGAGGGCATTTCAACTAGGACAGCAGAGTGAACCTGTGAGTGTGTATGCCCATCAGTGCTCACAAAGCACACACTCTCTTGCGTTGTGGCTGCTTAGTACTCTTGCTGCTTAGTCATAGACATACAGAAGCCAATAGTTGCCTCTAAGGATTGTTACCTGTCACCAGCTTCCTTTTCAGCTCTTGGGTGTTAAATTGGTGTGCAAGGACAAATATCATGCAGGTTAATGTTACTCTCACAACATATGACATATTTCTGACTATGGGATTTTCTCCCATTTGTCCGGGAGATGGAAATCTCCTATGACACGTTGACAGACACAATTACAAATGTCCTAATGTATTTCCTAAAGGTGTGGGTTTGAGACAATTATTCAGTCAGTCATGTTTTTCCATTACGTTCCCATGAATTCTAATTGACCTAGATCTCAGGTCAAATTACTCCTATATAAGATAGTTGCGAACCAAACAGCTTTGTGCCAGTGATAAGGTCTGTCTATCAGTTTTTTATGAGTTTCATCTCCTGCAAAAAGCAACCGGATCCCGGTGATGGAGGAGTTGCCTGTGCCAATGTTCGTTATCCAGTCAAATCAATTTGTTTACGCCTGCAAATATGTCCTTTCAGATTTAGAGTGCTGCCAGAAGTGGTGCATGGAACCTGTTGCTAGCATAACCTACAAACTGTAGTTCTCTGTTAACATCGTGTTCATTCTTAACCTAAGGGAGCAGGCAGAATGTCGCCACGTGGTGACTTCAGCTAAGCAAGAGGACTTTTACAGTTCTGTTGTTTCTCCATCTCTTTCATCTCTGTCTCCAGCCGTGGTTGTGGTATCTGGAAAATGCTGCTGCAGGGTAGTCTATGATAGATACTGGCAGAATTGTCAACCCTGATTAAAAATGTTCATAACTAAATTGAAAGCTGATGTATAATATTCTATATTCAGTGGCGGCCGGCCCATAGGGGCGCTAGGGGCACCGCCCCACCTCTTCCCACATAAAAAAAAAAAAATTTAATTAAAAAAAAAAAAATATTTTTATTTTTAATGAACAAGGTAAATATCATACAATTGGTATCAGTAAAATGTATAATCTACAATAAAATCTCGTTTAAAATTGTGTTACGATGTCTAAAGTGACTGATAAGTCACATGTTTCCTGCCTGGCCTTGCCCATGGCATTAGTTTATCATTACCGGGCGGAGCCCCCGAGACAAACAGCAGCAACCAGCACGTTGCAAAAGTCTCAATAGTAAACTGTGCCGCCGAAACATAATTTCAGCCAATCAGCGCCGTCAAATATTTTGGTCACGAGGGCACTCACGTTGGCGCCCACGTTGCTTATGTGACGTGAGTTGTTTTTTAGACTCGTTAGTGACCAAGGTGACGCAGTATTTAGAATGGTGTGCAGGTGGAGTCGCCGGACCTCGGTCCGCACCCAATTCCGTGCAAGAGCTACTCTCCAATCCTTTCCAAAGGAGAAGTTTGGGAGATAAATTGATACTTAAAGACCTTGGACCGGACCAACCCGATTTGTATATATCACAGCAAGCTCGTGAAAAAGACAAAACGTATCAACGAGGCTAGCTGGATGCAAACAGGTAAATGCTATCTTTTGTTTCCCATACTTGCTCTTCAAACAGCCGATACGATCTGTTCAGAAACTAGACAAAAGTTAAACAAGTACAAACCACAGTCGCTGGTTTATTTATGTCTGTATAGGCCGTTGTTGTGAGTGTGGACGGTCGGAGCATATATAACGTTAGCTTAGCCAAGCTCCATTCAGAAAACAAGCATTTTAAAAGGTTTTTCGCCTGCCGTCTGTCTGCAGACTTGTCAAAGCATTAATTCATGGTTTTTACTAACCGGTATCAGTATGTTGTTACGTCGGCATCATTTAGAAACGTGTATTACAATTTAATCACGGTAAAATATGTTCATTTTGTTGTAGTTGTAGCTCCCGAGCCAGCGCGTCTTGTTTGAATGATGCGAGTAAACACAGCTGGCAGCCGCGGTGAAACTCGAGCGACTAGAGAGATGCGATAGGAGCGTTTAGAGCGAAGCGAATATTTGCATCGCGTCCGGTCTGAACGCAGCATTAAAGCGAGCTGCGCGCTGCACTGGAAACTAATTTAAGGGGTCTCCCAAAAAACAATTTTTTACTCACTATATCAAAAGCCCCACCAAAAATATTTTCCACCAGCCGTCTATATTACATTTTACTCTGTTATATACTGTCCACATTAGGATAGGATTCCAGTGTTTTTGACTTAATTGTTTTTAACAACCAGCGTCCCCTGGGAAACCAAAGGATCCCAGATTATATTTTTGTTTGCACACGCTTGTGATCCTCTTGAGTTTTTCTGGGGTTGTCCTGTTTCTTTCTCCCTTATATGATAATATCGTTTCTGTCGGGGACACTTCTGAAGCAATAGGAGTCACGACTCAGAGAGACACGAGGAGAGCTGGAGCTTTGATGGAGTCAGGACTCAGAGAGACACGATGAGAACTGGAGCTTTGATGGAGTCAGGACTCAGAGAGACACGATGAGAGCTGGAGCTTTGATGGAGTCAGGACTCAGAGAGACACGATGAGAGCTGGAGCTTTGATGGAGTCAGGACTCAGAGAGACACGAGGAGAGCTGGAGCTTTGATGGAGTCAGGACTCAGAGAGACACGATGAGAACTGGAGCTTTGATGGAGTCAGAACTCAGAGAGACACGATGAGAGCTGGAGCTTTGATGGAGTCAGGACTCAGAGACACGAGGAGAGCTGGAGCTTTGATGGAGTCAGGACTCAGAGAGAGACGAGGAGAGCTGGAGCTTTGATGGAGTCAGGACTCAGAGAGACACGAGGAGAGCTGGAGCTCTGATGGAGTCAGGACTCAGAGAGACACGAGGAGAGCTGGAGCTTTGATGGAGTCAGGACTCAGAGAGACACGAGGAGAGCTGGAGCTCTGATGGAGTCAGGACTCAGAGAGACACGAGGAGAGCTGGAGCTCTGATGGAGTCAGGACTCAGAGAGACACGAGGAGAGCTGGAGCTTTGATGGAGTCAGGACTCAGAGAGACACGAGGAGAGCTGGAGCTCTGATGGAGTCAGGACTCAGAGAGACACGAGGAGAGCTGGAGCTTTGA